AGGAGCCGCGTCCAGTGCCCAGCAATGGGGGAGACAGGCTGTCGCCATGGGCCCAGGCTCATGGGACGATTTTGGCCCCCATTTTTGGCTGGGTAGCCTCTAAGCTTTGTTCTCAAGTCTACCTGAAGATTCTGTGAGCTCTGAATTCCTTTTAATAAATTCCTCTTCTTTTTTTTTTTTTTTTTAAGGATTTTATTTATTTATTTGACAGAGAGAGACACAGCGAGAGAGGGAACACAAGCAGGGGGAGTGGGAGAGGGAGAAGCAGGCTTCCCATGGAGCAGGGAACCCGATGCGGGGCTCGATCCCAGATCCCAGGACCCTGGGATCATGACCTGAGCCGAAGGCAGATGCTTAACAACTGAGCCACCCAGGCGCCCCTTAAGAAATTCCTCTTCTGCTTACATTAGCTAACGTCTGTTCCTGTTGCTTGCAAAGAGCTTTGACCGCTACCGCATGTGAACAGACTTCAGCCTGTGAGCACTAACGGAGCCCCATGACCACCGTGAAGGGCCCACGGTCCCGTGCTCCAGGGTCTTCATTGTGGTACCCAGGGTGCCCACACTGCCAGGTGCCTTGTATATGCTCGGGAATCAGTTTGCCCGTGTTCTTCAAAGCCAGCCTCCTGCCCTGGGGCCAGAGCCTGCCAGGAGAACATGTCTCTGCTGCAAGGCTCTTATCATGGGGACCACATCTTGTCACTGGGGCCAGAGTAAGGATGCTGGGGTCCAGAGTCCCATAAAGTCTTTCCTGAACACCGCCGCTCCTTCGGCATCTCACCCAGTCTCTCTCTTAGGATGGGTGGGCTAGACCGATGCCCTTCTGATCTGTCCCTTTACCTGGGGACCTCCGAGGAAATACACTCACACTCACACACACTCGCATATCCCTTCAGCATATCCTTCAGCAAAAGAAAACAAAGCCCCATGTTTGGCTGGCTGCAAATGCCATTGACCCGGCTCTGCTAGGAAGCTTCTAGGCCTCCACTTCTGCCTACTCGAGAGCCCCATTTCAGTGATGTGGTGGGAAAGGCCTTGTGTTCAGAGCACAGACACCCGAGCGTGTGCTCACTAAGCTGCGTGGCTTTGGGGGTTGCTTTCTCGCTGGCCCAGATTAGTTGGTTATCACAAAGGTTTTTCCAGGAG